TCCTTCTCTCTGGCTGCACTCTTGCAGCCATTGAGAAATACTGTGTGAGCTGTGATTGGTCACAGCTTGTCACATGGTACAAGGCTGTTGTGAATAGCCTTCTAGCATGTGACCTCTGTGATCATCCACAGATTTCACACGTAGTAAGCAATGATGTCAGAAGTGATCACATTATCGGGACCTCGCAGAAGGGTCCCGTACAACTATCTGTGTTCCTGAGGACACAGCGGACACCGGATCGCGGTGCTGCATGCTCTCAGGGAGCAGGAAAAGTCGGAACGTGAAACACCAGTTTACAAATAAACGTAAAAAATAAAATACCATTGGCCATTGACCACTGAAAAGTCGGGAAGATCACAAGTTAACCACTTCCCATCCGGCCATTGTATATAGACGGCCACCCGCCCCTGCACTGCCACCGTCTGGCCGTTTATATACAACGGCCGGATGGGAAGTGGTTAACTTGTGATCTGCCCGACTTTTCCTGCTCATCAGCTCTTCTTATTGTTAATGTATTTTATGTGTGGCCCAAGACAATTCCTCTTCTTCCAGTGTGGCCCAGGAAAGTCGAAAGGTTGGACAGCCTTGGTTTCCATATTCATTGATAAGAGTACACATTGACTTTATTTGCTAAGGGAAAAACAAAATTTTATGTAAGATAAAAATTCCAACAATTCAACTCCGGAAGGAATAAAGTAGGCCATGTTTCATACAAACTTTTATTTATTTGTAAACTTTTTTATATAGTAGACTCAGAGTAAATACATTGATCAAGAGACATAATATAAAACAGTGCACTGTTGTGTCAAGATGAGATATAGGATGCCAGTCTGTACCCTTATCGAGAAATGTACACCGTAAGACAAGTAAAACTAAATTTGATGTCCTGTCCTTTATACAGTAGGAGTTACTATATTTTTTTTGTGTCCTTATGTCTAGCAGAGAGGGAAACAAAGTTCTTGGTCATTTATAACCGCCACTTTTAATGGGTCATACACTTGCTTATCTGCTACTACAGGCCTGTTCTTGAAATGATTGTCTAGTGTCAGATTGCCTGCAAACTTGGTTCAGTACTATATTTTGTGCATGATTAGTGAGATGCATATATACAATTCCTTTTGTAAAAAAAAAAAATGGTGCCAATCAAGTAATGCTTAGAATTCAAACACCAGCCTGTGCAATTTATCAGACAACAGGTACTTTTAACCTCCCTAGCAGTCTGATTATGTCAGTATTTCTGTGCTCAAAGCGGTACATTTTTTTGCATGGAAATATGTATTTTTTTTATTGTAGGCCTGTAATTTTTAGAATAACTCACTGAAATCTGTCCGAACAAGAGTCTAGTAAACATCCCGGGTATGATAAAATTTGAAACACGAAATCATAAATTATAATTTAATAAATAATCATAAAAAATAATAATAATAATACATGTAATTCAATAATATAATCAAACCAAAAACACTGAAATTTGAAATATAGCTCCAAGTTCTCACATCACTAAGCAAAGTTGCAAAATCATTTTCAGTGTCTGATGACGAATTTCCCCACAAATCATTATCACTCAATTCTGCAAGTAGTTCTAATTTACTATCTCTGTTTTCTATCTGGTCTAAAACCGCTTTTGACCTAAAGGGACGCTTTTTGGACGCCATGGACATTTCTCAGTTTCAAGGCAGAAAGAACAGTAAAAATGCAGGCAGGGCACAGGACAAAGCACTCGGGACAAAATGTATGTGAAATGGTTTGATACAGTAATGTTATACTGTGTGATTTTAGTGTATTTAGTGAATGTCACTTTTTCACATTTTTAAATTTTCTGCCATTCCGTCCCCCGTACGTCCCGACATCGCAGGGAACGGAACCCGGAAGACAGATGCCAGCATCGGTCGGAGGACATTGCAGGGGACACTGCAGGAGGGACATCGCGGGAGCGAAGGACAAGGTAAGTGAAGAAAGGTCCCGGAGCAGTGCTGCAAGGTATTCCTGAGTGTAGCTCGGGGTTACTGCTTGTGGTGCTGAAACTTTACACCGAGCTACACTCAAGAATACCTCCAGGGAGGTTAAAGTAGATCTATAACTTTAATACACCATTTAATACTTTATAACTGTTTGATAAAGTATTATTTTCAGAAATAATTGTCACACTCTTTTTCTATTTTTACCTATTAGTTCAACCTTTTTACATCTGAATACTCTTGATCTCATGCAGACCCTTTCAGACACTTCCTGTCCATGGGCTCTTACTTTACTTCTGGTTGTAATCTATTGTTCTGAATGAGAGAGGACTATGCCTATACAATGTGTGATGGTCACTTGTAGCTTCCACCAAAGGCTCATGTGACAGGGAGACAACGCATGAGAAAAATTGTGAATCAGTTGTCACCCTATATCAAGAAGTGCCTGAATAAAGACCTTCATGGCTGGATCACCAGGTGTCCTTTTAAAAAATAATGCATTTTTCTATTCTGCATTGTAGCTTCTATGTAGGTTAGGCGAGATAAACTTAACCTCAAACTGGCTGTAATTTATGTCTTAACTGCCAATTGTTGCTGCAGAATTTGTCATTATTTGTGTTTCATATCTGTATATATGATGGAACATTGTTCATTAATACTTCTTGGTTCTTTTTTGTAAAATTATTCTTTAAAAAAAAAACCATTGGAAACTAAAAAAATAATACAAATTTAAAAAAATCGGTAACAACATTTAAAACATTAACAGTTCTATGAAATTTTAGTGATTGGGTTTAGATCTACTGTAACCCTTTGGCGCCGGTGCCTCCTTGCCCTTTAAGGGTTTCAGAAGCCGGTAGGCAGGCGGGGTTATAGGGTCATGTGACCGCCATGATTCGCTGTCAGGTTTCTTCACAGTGAGAGCTGTGAAAATGTGGAATAGACTCCCTCAAGAGTTGGTTCTGGCCAGCTGAGTGGATTGCTTCAAAAAAAGCCTAGATTGTTTCTTAGATACACAGAATATAACTGGATACTAATATTTATAGGTAAAGTTGATCCAGGGAATATCCAATTGCCTCTCGGGGGATCAGGAAGGAATTTTTTTTCCCGGCAGGAGCAAATTGGATCGTGCTTTGCTAGGTTTTTTTTTGCCTTCCTCTGGATCAAATGTGGGTATAGGATTATAACTTTTTTTTTTAATGGTTGAACTGGATAGACTTTTGTCTGTTTTCAGCCAGATCAGCACCTTTCTGTGAGTACCGGACATGTGTGCTGAGAGCGCACAGGGTGCACTCTCTCAGCACATCACGCAAATGTGCAGCACAAATGTGCCAAGAGGGCGCACATTTGTGTGAGCTCAGCATGAAGAGGTTAAGTAGCCAAGGACATTGGCCTCGAATGATTTTTCAATTTGGAATATTGAACACAAGATTTAGAAACATTCTGTATTCCTAGATTTAGATGTGACATGCCTTTAAACAAGGCAAAATTCATTTATCCATCTTGGTTGTTCTTTTGCATTTATATGAGTAACTTGGGCACTAGCTATTTTTCAGTTTTACTGATCACAGAATGTGGAAAAGCCACAATGTCAGTGAGTAAATTAGAAATATTTTATACAGTCACACATCATGGTATTTCAATAAGTAACATAATGAGTAATATAACACACTCATCGTGCGGTTGAAAAGTTCACTTACAAGACCAACTTTTGGTATCTTCTGGGTGACTTTTCAATATTAATGCTGACAAGAATAGCCTCAGCTAAAACCCTCAGGTATTACCAGCCTGTCACATTGACTTTGCTCACTCAATCAATATTGTATCCCCTTTTAACAAGTTACAGCCTGCACAGTTGAGTTTCTTACCTGTTTCCCTGTTTGGGACATTTTTTTTTTCACTGTGATGACCCTGAGATGGTAGTCTTGAGATCAGCAACTTGGAAAAAAATAGTTTGAATGCTAAAAAATCACAAAATAGATTAAAAAGATAGTAGCATTAGGACTTGTTCAATCCGCTGCATGGTGAAGGGAGTGGCGCTGATGTTATAAAGTGTCACTTCCGCGGGTTGTGATGCAATGTACTGCATTGCAAAATGCTGTGCTGAAAAAGAAGTAGAGCATGTCCTACTTTTTTTTTCAGTGCGCAATACTACATCATAGTGGTGTAAACTGAATTCATAGAACTCAAGGCAAGCTGGCATTGTCTATGTGTGTCAGGCTGGCCAGCTAAGCCCAATGCATTTGATATGAATGGGCCCTTACAACACAAAGGAACCCTTCACTTGTTTGTATCCCTACACATAATGATAACCTAAGCCTACAACTTCAATCCTTATCTTGAATGTAATCATAAACCTAATTAATTCAAGGTAGAAATGAGGGCAGAACATTTTTTTTCATTTTGGATAGAGTAAAGGAGGGTATAACCACTTACAATAAACAACCTACGCTTACATATATAAAGACAATAAGTGTAAATCAATATATGAAAAATAACAATTAATGCTGGTCAGGTGATGTCCTGATCAACGTCATGTCCACCTGTGTGCTGCCATTTGCGGTTTACAAGATCAGAACCCAATAGTGTCCTTTCTGCTTCCTTTCTGCCCACATGATGAATCTTGGAATACATTGATGAATTGCACCTATACTCCATTGAACCCTGGATATCTCCGTGAGCACATCTCACCAGTAATAAGCGTTTTTGACTTTTAAGCCATAAAAGCTAGAAGTCCACCATATCTGGTTACTGTGGAATACACAAGGGAGGGATCACTGAGCACTACATGGTATGATTACCCTGTGGTTTTTGAGGAACGGGATATATTATTATTGTTATTATAATACAGTATTTATAACGCGCCAACAGATATATATTTCTTTTTGGACTTTCTTCTTTTGGCATGGATTTCTTTGATTGAAGCACTTAAAGTGGAGCTCCACCCAAAAGGGGAAGTTCCGCTTTAAGGACTGCTCCCCTGCTCCTCATTAAGGATTGGCACCTTTGGGGGGCGGGAGGGGAGCGGTTTCCCAAATTTGACAGGTACCCGCTCCCACTTCCGGTCCGATCACCTAGGCGATCGGAAGCGGAAGGTGTCCTCCCTCCCTTCCTGTAGTCTTTTGGGACACGTGACAGGTCCCAGAAGACTACAGGACCATTCATGAAGTGCAGCGCTATTTGCGCATGCGTAGTGGGTACCCGGCTGTGAAGCTGCAAGCTATCACACCCAGGTTCCCACACTGAAGATGCCGGCCTGCTGGAATACAAAGAAACGGGCTGCGGGGGACACATCGTGGGACCAAGGGACAGGTGAGTGGCTGTTTTTTAAAAGTCAGCAGCTACAGTTTTTGTAGCTGCTGACTTTTTGTAGCTGCTGACTTTTATTTTTTGACAGGATGAGTGGAACTCCGCTTTAATCATGGATTATTTTGGATTGTGGACTTTCTTTATATTTATTATATATATTTTTTGCATTGTGTTATTGATTATTTTAGAGTATAACCACTGTCAAGTTTTGCCATCTGTGTGCCTTCAGGGAGATTTCCTTCTCTTTCTGTTCTATAGCCAAAACAAGAAGTGAGAGGAAATCCCTTAAAAGGTAAAAGTTCCTGGTAGTCACCAGGGTCACCTAACTAGCGTTCCCATTGAGGCAGCCTATCAAGCTTCCTAAAGGCGTTAGAGCTTTATCTATCTGTACGGCCCTGGATTTAGCTGTAATAGCATGGTTTTGGAGGCTGCTGAATTTTTTTTTTAGGATTCAGGCCCTCATTAAGGAGAACTGAAGGCATTGTTTTTCATTTAGGATAGAGTGAGAGAGAGTTATAACCCCTGTCAGAGTTTTTTTTTTTTTTTGCCATCTGTGTCCCATTGGGAAAATTTCCCATAGCCAAAACAGGAAGTGAGAGGAAATCCCTCCAAAGTAATGGAATCCTTGGTTGTGATCAGATTCACAAGAATTAGTGTCCCCATTGGAAGATTTCCCTTCTATTCTATTTCCACTCTCTGTGATAAAGGTACATAGGGCAAATAGAATCTCCATAACACATACAACAATAAAAAATCTGACATGTTCTAGTACTTCTCCACTTGACTTGCAGGCAACCGCAAACTGCAGTTCCCATGAGCACTGACAGTTGAGCGGAGGGTACTGTGCTCAATTAGGTACATGTAGTTCAGCTGTGCATTTCACATGTGGGGCTGAAAAGGCTGCTTACCATTCCAATGCAGCAGTGTCTACATTGTCTGCAGAAGAAAGTTAGGTACAGCAGTTGCAGGTATTTCCATCAGGATCATTAGGTATCTGCCACTATGAATAACATTCTATCAAACATACATACTGTAGCTCTGCTTTTGAATTTTGAACATACATATACTTTTTGCCAGTTTTCATGCTTTACCCCCATGATCACTTTGAAACAAATTTTAAAATAGATTTATTGACTTTTAAGAAACCAAACATTTATACTCACCTAGGTAGATGCAGCATCAATCTGATGCTGCATTTCTCCCCCATTGGCTCTGCAATGAGAACTGAAAACACCGCTGATCACTCAGTTCTTCCCTCTGCTCTGAGCAGCAAGCCGTGACTGTCAGTCTCCGGCTCTCTGCTCTGCCCCTTTAGCACTCACTGAAGTGCTGGGCTGTGGAGGGGGGTGGGAAAGGCTGGGTCAGGCTCTTGACAGATCACTGAGAGGCTGAGCCAGGAGCCAGTCCCAGGCTTCTGGGTGGATCCCGACCATATGGTTGCCTGGACTGGCTCTGTGACTTCAGCTGACAACTGGCTTCAGCTCTCTATAAGCTGAACTTGGGTTACAGAAGTGCAGAACGAACTGCAATTCTTTGATCCATAGGAGAAGCATAGCCAGAAAAGCTTTAGCTATACTTCTCCTTTAATGTTTGTGTTCTTTAGATTATTTAATTTTTTTTTTTTTTTCAAATTAGGCTGATGCCACTGACATTTTAAAAAATAACTTATCGGCATATGGTGGTGGAGTTTTTTGTTAGCTTTGCATCTTACTAAAAATATTTGCTTCTCTTCTCTCCATTTGGACAAAGTGACTAAGAATCCATTTATATATACTGTATAATTTGGTAACCACAGACGGGCCAAAAACAAAGAAGGATCTAAGAATTATAAATAGGCCGACTCTCACCTCTGGAAATAATAGTATGCTTTACAGTTTCCCCAGTTAAAATGGTAGTAAAGCCCCATGGTTTACTTGTACCTACAGGCAAACCTAAAAAAAGACTTACCTGTAGGTCCAGTAAATATCTCCTAAACAAGCACCATTTATGAGATATTAACTATAATAGTAGTTATATGGCGTGCCGTCCATTGAGAGAGCCGTGCTGCAGCCGTGACTCCCGTGTGCATGCGTGGGAGTGACGTCATCGTGGTTTGGCCTGTCAAACAGCCGAAGCCTGTGTACCCGGAAGGAAGACCAGGTGAAGATGGAAGAGCCTACAGCGGTGACAGCGCACCACTGGAGGGCTTCATTTTCAGGTAAGTCTTTCATAATGTGCTAGTATGTGATGCATACTAGCTTTTAATTTGCAGGGGAAATGTTTAGAGGATTTTTTACTTTTTGTGGTTTAATACTGCTTTAAATAAAGTATCTTTAACCACTAGCCTACAGGGCACTTATACCCCCTTCCTGCCCAGGCCAATTTCCAGCTTTCAGCACTGTTGCACTTTGAATGACAATTGCGGAGTCTGCATGACTACGCTGACTGCACTGACTGGCATTGATAGGTGGCACTGACTGGCACTGATGGGTGACACTGCATACACTGTACCCATATGAACTTTTTATAATTTTTTTGTGACAGATAGAGCTTTATTTTGGTGGTATTTAATCACCTCTGGGTTATTTATTTTTTCTTAAACAAACCAAAAACCACTGAAAATGTTGAAAAAAAAAACATTTTTTCTTAGTTTTTGTTATAAAATGTTGTAAATAAGTGATTTTTCTCCTTCACTGATGTGCGCTAATGAGGCTGCACTGATGGGCACTGATAGGCTGCACTGATGGACACTGATAGGCTGCACTGATGGACACTGATAGGTGGCACTGATGGGCACTGATGAGGAGGCACTGGTAGGTGGCACTGATGGGCATTGACAGGCATCACTGATGGGCACTAAAAGGCAGCACTCATATATGGCACTGATAGGCAGCACTGACTGGCACTGTTAGGTGGCACTGACAGGCAGCACTGATGCACACTGAAAGGTGGCATTGACTGGCACTGATAGGTGGCACTGATTGGCAGCACTGATAGGTGGCACTGACTGGCATTGATAGGTGGCACTGACTGGCACTGATGGATGACACTGAAAGGCAGCTCAGATGGGCACTGATATGTGGCATTGATGTGGCACTGAAATGTGGCACTGGGGCAGGCAGGTGGCATGGATGAGCACTGAGAGCTGGCACTAATGGACACTGACAGGTGGCACTGCTGGGGCTACACAGATCATCAGGGCACACTGATTATCAGTGGTCTGATGATCTGTGTACATGTCCCCTCCGAGGAATGCCGATTACCGGCTCTCCTCTCCTCATGAGCTGTCAGCGTGATAGCTCGGGGGGAGAGAAATGCCGATAACCAGCATTTCCCTGTTTACATGTGATCAGTTGTGATTGGACACAGTTGATCACATGACCGAGCCGACATCTTCAGCTCTTTCCGTGGATCGGTGATCCGCTGTGTCCGAGGGACACAGCGCACCGCCGATCACCGCGCTGCACACTCCGGGAGCCGCGCATGCGTGGTTAGAATGGGAGGACATCATATGACGTCCTCCCAGAACGAGAGAACCACCTTGCGTCCATCATATTACTGTATGGCGGGCGGGAGACGGTTAAAGGAATGTATAATCTTCATTTACCTATTTATTTGTTGTCTTTACTACTGTGAAAACATAAAGATTAGTCACTTGAAGTCCGGAAGATTTTACCCCCTTCATGGCCAGGCCATTTTTTGCTATTTAGCACTGTGTAAACTGGTAATTGCTCAGTCATGTAATGCTGTACACAAACAAAATTTATATAATTTTTTTTCACATAAATAGAGCTTTCTTTTAGTAGTATTGAATCACCTCTGGGTTTTTTATTTTTGCCACAAACAATTACCGAAAATGTAAAAAAAAAACAATATTTTTTACTTTCTGCCATAAAACATATCCAATAAAAAAATTTAAAAAATCTAATTTCTTCATAGATGTGGGTCAAAATGTATTCTGCTACAACTCTTTGATAAAAAAAAAACAGTAAGTGTATATTAATTGATTTGCATGAAAGTTACAGTGCCTACAAACTATGGTATACCTAATGGAAATGTTATTTATTTATTTTTTCATACTACTAATGGCAGTGATCATTGACTTATAATGGGACGGCGATAGTGCGGCGGGCAATGTGACACTAACTGACGCTGGGTTGAGCCGACTGGAGGAACTGACTAACTGGCACTGACATCTCCAGTGACATTAATACAGTGATCAGTGTTAATACTATACATTGCCCGTGTACTTATGACACTGGTTGAGAAGGGGTTAACATCCAGGGTTATGAAGAGGTTAAGTGTGTGCCTAACTATGTCATGTGTAATGTGTGTAAAGTGTGCTGCTTTTTACTAATGATCTCTTAGTTTCTCATCCCTGCTTACAGGAAAGAGAAACACAGAGATCGTTCCCTCTGTACAGAGCTCTTGATTGTCAACATAGAGCTCCTGACTGCGATCCTTCGAATTTTCTCATCACTGCAGATGAAAATGATTGTCGACTTAATCCCACTAACAATTAGAAAAATGAAAATGTTCAATCTTATTAAAATGTCCAGCATGCCTTACAAGCCATGGGGGAGATATACTAAAACTGGTGCACAAAGAATCTGGTTTTCCTGCCGCCCTATAGCAGAAATACTTCTACAGAGCATCAGGGGTGCGCAAAATCATGTATATATACATTATTTTTCATTTCCAGGGTAGGGTACAGGCCCTACCTGTGCCGCCCTTGGCGGCCTCACCTGTCGATCACCAGGTCCTGGCTGGTGATTCCCCGCCGGCACCAAGCGATCGCTGTGTATCACGGAGGGGGAGAGAGACCTATATATAAATATAGATCTCTCCCCTGTCAGCTCCTGCACATTGCTTTGTATTGCTCTGCATAGCACAGCCATACAAAGCAGTGTGCTGACACAGTAAAGCACACACACAGCACACTGCAAAACAGCACACAGTTAACCCTTTGATCACCCCAGATGGTAACCCCTTCATGTCCAGTGCCATTATCAGTATCAGTGCTTTTTATTAGCACTGATCACTGTATTGGTGTCACTGGGGATGTCAGTGACAGTTACTCAGTTCCACCCAATGTCAGAATGCCCACTGCAGTCCCGCAGTCCCACTATAAGTTGCTGATTGCCACCATTACTAGTATATAAGAATAAACCAAATTCCGGTATCTATACCGCCATTTGTAAACGCTATAATTTTCACATAAACCAATTAATTTACACATATTGGGATTTTTTTTGTAGCAAAGACATGTAGCAGAATACATTTTGGCCTAAATTTATGACTAAATTTTATTTTTTTACTGGACATGTTTAATAGCAAAAAGTCAAAAATATATTTTTTTTCTCAAAATTGTCGGTCTTTTTTTTTTTATAGTGCACGAGGCGATCAAATACCACCAAAAGAAAGCTCTATTTCTGGGAAAAGAGCACTTAAATTTCATTTTGTTGCAGTGTTGCATGACCGCACAATTGTCAGTTAAAGTAACGCAGCTCCATATCGAAAAAAAGGCCCGGTCAGGAAGGGGGGTAAATCTTCTAGAGGGCAAGTAGTTAAGCTTTGGCAATTAAACCAGGAAGCTGATTGGTTACTATGCAGAGCTGCACCAGATTCTGTGTGCACCAGTTTCAGACTCATTCATTCTGTATTATATATTCATCTGTATAATGAAGATTTTATACAACCAATTTAAAAAACTGACGTGAAACACCAGTTTACAAATAAATATAAAAAAATAAAATACCATTGGCCAAAAACCTTTAACAGAACAGTGAACCAAATTGACACGGGCTCCGGGTTAGCGCAAACATCTGTTATTGGAGTCAGTTAAATGTGTCCTTCCTGATACCATTATCGCAGCGCTACCTTGAAATCCACAATAACTAAGATTAGGTTGAACAAAGAAAGACTAAACCAATGCACACCCAAACAAACAACATGAGCCGCTTTCTTCAGCCACTTCTTTTTTAGCAATAGCTGATGCTGCCAATAATATAAACTTTGCTTTGATCCTGCACAATATAATTTCATTTCATTTCACAACCTATCTCATGTCATTATGTCTGGACACTCCTGGACCTCCTATGCAGCTGCAGTACAATTAGGATGGCCTTGCAGCTGGACCAGAATCTCTTCCACTTCAGACTGCCATTCCAAGGAGAAAAACAAGATGGAAAATTTATCTCAGTAATTTGTTTTAGAACTCGTTCACACCATGCTTGTTGAACTGCATTTATCTGCGTAGGTCAATGAAGGCTCAAGGATACATAAAGAACACATTTTTTTGTGCCCTGTTCACACCATAAGTCCTCATGCACACTGGACGTTTTTACAGCGGCTGTTTTTGGCTTTTGACGTTTTTTTTTTGCAGTCAGTAAACTCCCCAGCATGTTATCCTATGTGTCCATGCACACATAGACTGTAATCAAAACGTTTTTTGGCAGGGGCATTTTTGGATGGAAAAAAAACCCAGGACTAATGGGTTTCTAGAGGAGTTTTTTAGTTGTAAAAACGCTCCAAAGCTGAAAAACGTGGCAAAATGCAGTAAAAAATCAGTGACAGGCAGACCTACGTGGATCAGCACGCACATTCCACTCCTCACAAGACCTCCTTCTCTCTCGTTCCCTGGTCTCCTCCTCCCATGCCCGCCTCCAGGACTTCTCCAGGGTGTCACCCATCCTCTGGAACTCCCTGCCCCAACCCATCAGATTATCACCTACTCTCCTCTCCTTTAGGCGCACCCTGAAAACCCATCTCTTCAGGGAAGCCTACCCCACCCCTGCTAACTTGCCGTCCTCCTCCACTCTTCCTACCACTCCATCCCCCACAGCTATCTCCTCCTGTGCCACCATCCCCTCCCTCCTAGATTGTAAGCTCGAAAGAGCAGGGCCCTCAATCCCCTCATGTTTTGCATTGTATTGGTATTGTTCTGTCACATGTTCTGTCCCCCTCTGTAATGTACAGCGCTGAGCGAACTATTGGCGCTTTATAAATACTGTATAATAATAATAATAATAATAAATATATAAATAGTAAATCGTGGCAAACCGGACTTTTTTTTACCCAAAAAATATTTTTTTTGGTTAAAAAAACGCTAAAGAATGCAAATGCGAAAAAAATGCGGCTAAAGCTAATGAAAAAAGCTAAAAAACACTGAAAAGTCACTTTACACAGCTAACATTACCAGCGCAATTAAAATTCCCAGTGTGCATGGAGCCTCATGCAGCGCTGACATGCACTGTGGTTTGTGCATAAACATGCAGCGAAACGCATGATTTTGCATGTCAATGCAGTGCGTAATATTGCATAGAGTTGAAGGAAATGTCATTTTTTGACATTTCAATAAAGTTAAAAAAAAAGTAGGCAGTTTGATGTGTAACAACCCACTGCACGCCCTTCACACTCTATACCAGTGTGCATGCGTTGTAGGGTGCATAATATGTGCCGACTGATGTGAATGAGCTCTTTAGCTTATGCAGAGTGTAAAGACAGATAAGATTTTGTGAAAAGAATACATTCATGCCAGTTTACAGCTGAACTCCAGGCAAAAAAATAGTCTTCCCTTGCAGTCGGGCTGTGCACATACTGCAAGGGTTAATTGCTCATTTTTGTCTATTGCAGAAATTAAGGGAGATACACTTACCTGATCCTCCCCACACAGGACTGGTGCCTGCACCACCTGCACCCCTGTGCTCTAGCAGCCGTGAGAGTTGGACTGTTCCTGATGTCATCAAGCCCAGAGAAAACTCCATAGACCTGCTTCAAGGTGTGAGGACACCAGGAACAGTCCACCGCTGTATTGTGGGGGAGCGCCATTAGCCAGTGGAGTGGAGGATCAGGTACACACTCCACTGGCTAATGGCGCTCCCCTACAATCCAGCGGTGGACTCACACCTAGAAGCAGGTCTATAGAGCTTTCTAGATGCAGGTATATAGAGCTTTCTGATAAGGCTGATAAGGCTTTCTCTTCTCCCCTGACCAAAACAAGCACTTAACCCTTGGAGTCTGGGCACAGTCCCATTGCAAGGGAAACCTTTTTTTTTGCCCAGAGTTGGCCTTTAGGCCTCATGCACACTGAAGGTTTTTGTTATCTTTTCTAGATACCTTTCCTCCTGGTTTCCTCCAGTGTTTTGGTAGGAAAAATGCTTGTAAATGCAGGAACACACAGGCTAACATGCAGGGCTGTTTAGAAGCAGAAAAAGAAAACAGAAGACACCCTAAGAGCTGCGTCACAAAAATGTCCATTGTGCATGAGGCCTTAAGTGGAATATATTGCAGCATACCTTTCCCTAGATGTGGTGGCTGTTGGTAATGGTGGTAGTGGTAGTTTTATTTTTTCCCCTTTTTTTTTCAGCTGGAGAT